CAGAGGCAATAGAGTAGACATGGACTCTAGACTGATGGGATTATATCTGTTCTGTAAGTGAGGGAGTCAAACAGGTGAATATTAGAGTTACAGTTCAGGGCAGTTCTTGGAAAGTCTCTGTAGAAGAGAAATCTTTATTGAGATTTTATTTATATTATGCTTTTTAATCAACTAAAAGATGTGAAGGACCAATATGTAGAGCCAGCCAGAAAGACACACTAAGTTCACAGCTACGTGAACTTGGTTTCTAACAGTGAGAAATATATCTCTTACAGTTATAATTTAGGTCCCTGGGTTTCATAATGACATTTATCACATTCATAACTTAGGAAATCAAGATCTTACATGTTGGAAGAGCAGTTTTACTTTGTATTACCAAATTTTTTATTTCATTTTAGTACTGTTTGCATATCCTAAGTATATTCGGCCAGATAGTGATGATGCGTAGTTTGCACCTTTTCTGAGTAACTAGGGAAAACTTGGTTCAGTAAAGATAGAACTCATAGTTACAGGTAATGTACAAAATAGACACTGTTACCTGGTAATCCTTGATTGAATATAGTTTTTCATAATTGCTACTTTCTTACTCCAGGAAAAAAAAAAGTGCACATATACATGTGCTCTAAATCTGATTGTACTACTTACAAATACTGGACGAGGGAAAGCCAACAAATCATTCTGGGCCCTGTGTCCCTGACCCATCCTAAAAAGGGAGATTAGACTCTATATTTATTTATGGCCCTTTCAACTCTGATAGTCTATAATGCCAGAGCCAAAACCAATCTCAGTATCATTGTAATGGCTTTGTTTTCCGAAAACTGAAAACCGGATTCTACAGCACAATGAATACTGATTTATAGGGACTCAGTGAACATGCTACTAAGAGACTGTATCCAAAACTTTTTCATTTGTGTCGTTTTTTCTAAATTCATGGAAAAATCACATTTCCCAGTTTATGCAGATGTACATTTCTTTAATAGAAAGAAATTTAAAAATCTACCTGGGTTATTGTAGCATTATTTAGATCAAAATTGCTTTGAAATTCTTACTATATATCCATAACAAATGTGACTACAAATCAGGAAAATAGAGAAACATTTCTTACAGCAGATTAAGATATGAGCACATGGAACAAAAGGTTTCCAATTTGATGTGATTTTATAGGTTATGGCAAAGTTCCCATTTCACAGACATGTTTTCCTGCTGGCCCAAGTTCCATTATTAGAAATTTATTTTCTTGATTTACTATTTTAGGAAAATGCAAAGTGGGTGTCAAACATAAGCAGCTATATGAACTTAGAATAATAATTTATATAGAGCCTTACAGTTCCATGAGGTAATAATAACATATTAAAACCTCACAGTTCCATGAGGAAATAAGAAGATCCTTTATAGCAAATCTACAGATGAGAAAGTCAAGACTCATCGAGATGAACTGACTTGTTCAGAGTTATCTAGGTAGTAAGTGGTAGGAACAGCACTAACAACCAGGGATGCAGGGATGGGGCCTTTGAAGACAGACAGACCTGAATTCAAATTTTGATTCTGTTTGATTGCTGTATCCTATGAAGCAATTACTTAACCTCTCTGAGGATTTTTTTTAATCTGTAAAAATCAAGAATAGGAATATCATGTAAATAATAGAGGAGCAATAATGTATATTATAGCACTCAATAGTGCATGGTAATGATCCTTTTGTTTTCATTACTCTATGTATTGTTAATCTTACAGCTAGGCTGCATAGGAGAGAAGGAATAGGAATATAAAGATGATATAAAGGTAGGTACCATTTTCCTTTGTGAGTCTTGTATTTCAGGCTCTAATTTTTTTTATTTTATTCTAGTTCATATTTTTCTGTGACTCTGCACAATCTATCCCCCTACCACAAATACCCTTATTCATCTCTTGACTCTGACCAATGTCTACACAGCTTCCAAGTGCTGACTAGAGTCATTTCCTCTTTAAAACTTTTTTTGATGCCATAGGTTGTTCCCATGGCATTCACGTAAAACTCATATTCATTTAGCAGTATTTCCTAAATGTCTCTTGGGGTGCTAGGGCATTCTGCTAGGGCTACATGAGGTCACTTTAGAGAATTGACCCTATTTTTGCTTGTTTGCATCTGTTAGTAATTCTGAGGCTTTTGAATTTTATAGATATTTAACATTCAATAAATGAAGACTAACAAAAAGTTGCCAATTTTTCTCTTTTAAGTAAAAACATAGTAAATAATTGCCACAATTCTTTTACAAAAGAAAGGGTATTTTGATGCCAAAATACATAATCTCAAGATTTAAAAAAAAAAATAAATTAGGCTTTGTGGAAAACTTCATAGAGGGGGTCTGCATAAATCAGGGAACAGGCATTGGGGAATCCATTGGCTTACATATATTTTTGCCCCAGTTTGATAGTTCTTAGATGCTATTTCTTATTCAACTGTGCATTTCTAGTGTAGCGCCCAATGTCTTATAGGAAGTATTCAATTAATATTTATGAATAAGGAAGTGAATCTGCCTCTGAGCAAATACCTCTGAGCCCTATGGTAATGCCTACGGCATAAAACACCTATGAGAGAACACCAGCAGTGGTAAGAGAGTGGTGGAGGTGTGTGTATATGCATGTTTATGCATGTGAACTGATATAATTTACTTTAACAGTTTGCCAGGCACCAACCATTCTGATTTTATGCAGAAATATTAGCAAGACTGTCCTCTAGAGGAACAGGAGAGGAGGCAGGGGCAGGATGTAAGATATTGAGGCATATCTTATGTGTACTATAAAAATACTTCATGTGACATCTGAAATGGATTAAGATTATAGTGAGTATAGTGACTGTAAATAGATAACATTCATTGGGTACGTATCATGTGCCAGGCACTGTTCTAAGTTCTTTGCATTCATTTGTTTATTTAATCTTTACAACAACCTATTGAGATAGACTCACCTTCTATTCCCTTGTACAGGTGAGAAAGCTGAAGCTTGCAGAGGTTAAATGACTTGCCCAGGGTCACACAGTTAGCCAGGGGTAGAGGTAGGTTTCAACTATGGTAGAGGTAGGTTGCTTTTAGAGCTCATCAAACCTCTGAGGTCCCTTTCTAGCCACATATTTCTATGATGAACCTAGTTTTATATGACTTGGTTTTCATTTTTAAAATCAGAAAATTCAAATGTTTTTTCTTAGCTATGATTTTAAAGTTGTCAGGGAACTCAGTTTTTCTACTTATTAATAAAAACTATGTGACCATAAGCAAGTTCCATAACCTCTTTGAACTTCAATTTCCACATCTCTAAAATGGAGGTGAAAGCCCTTTTCTGTGTTTTTGGAAGGATTAAATGGATAGCGTATGTAAAACAGCTAGCAAAGGGTCTGGATTATGAAGAGGCTTAAATAAATGTTAATTCACCATTGGGCCTAGTAACATAAAATGGCATTTTCAAATTAAACTCATATCAAATATTAGTAATAGGATGAGAGCAAAGAGATCATCACTCTGGTGGATAAAGGTGCCTGTATTTACAGAATTCCTTAGAGAACTACAAGGATTATCTTTGCTGCAGCCCTCATTTTAATTAACAGCATAGAGATCAGACATTTCAGCATAGGAAGAAGCTCGTATTTGATTTACACCACAGATGCCCATTTTCAGCATCCAAACATTCCATTCTTTGGCTGAAGATATAAAGAGCTACTTCAGCAAACTTGAGCAAAATAAATGGAAAATGCTTAATCATTTAAAAAGATATACCAAAGAATGGAAAGATCAAAGCATGCACATACACCAGTGAGGAAGGCTAACTGGCAGGAAGTCCCTGCCTTTTTGAAAGACTGACAAATGACTTCAGTTAGACAGGCAGGGTATAAAACCAAAACAATCCATCTCTGTCATCCTTTACACACAAACACATATAGAAATTAAGCACACATATGTACATATAATCTCATTTTTGATAAAAGTATTATTCATGGAGAAAATTAAGTTGTAGAACAACGTGTAAAATATAAACTTATTTTGTAGAAATAATGTCACATCCCACATATACCTGAGAATACATTTGTATATGTTTCCAGGAACATGGAGAACGTATAAGGCTTATGCCATGTTGTCACTTTGGGTAACCCAGGACAGGTCACCCTGGAGGGAGTTTGGGGAAAATTTTTGTTCCTTGATCATCTTTGTATTCCTTTGCCAAATGTAATGACCAGTGAAAAATAAAAAAGTTTTAAATTTACATTTCTTACTATTCATTTACTTATTCATTCATTAACTTATTCATCATCCAAGCTTTATTGAATCCTTCCTAATGACCATTTAAGTAAATTATATTGGTCTTCTCTGAAAGCTGTCTGTCCTTTTCAGAGGAGTGCTGGCTAAATTTCCCTTTACTTGTAGGATTAGCAATGGGTGTGCTCTGTCCTAGAATCCTGCCCTGTGACCCTTTGGAATTAATAGGCTATATTAAATTCAAACCATTAGAAGTTAACTTCACTCCTTTCCTTTTCACTTATAGTTATTGAACTATTGAAGGTTCATTAACTCTCCACTTCCATTGAATTGTGGATAACTATCGATGGGAAAAACATGGAATTTCAAGCCAAAAGACAGAATTTCTGTCCTGAATTCCACTAACCAAATGTATAATATTGGCATGCTACTTCCTTCCTTTTGAACTTCAGCACTCTCTTCTCAATAATAATACCTATCTTATAGTATGGCTGTAGAGCTTAAATGAGATCAGATATAGAGTCTTAATAAGCAGCAAAGTGACATACAATTATATCTTACTATTTATTCACAAAGAATTTGTGACTTTGGTTCCTATCAGAGGACAATGACACATTTACAGTGCACTTGAGGCAAAACTACAGTAAGTTTAAAAAACTTACAATAAGGGACTCAGAAGCTTTAGTTAGTATCCAACATACCACCTGACACGTGAGGCAAATATGATTTCTTTCTGGTAATGAGAGGGAATCCAATTAACCAACAGGCATATCTGACCTGGTGTAGTCGTCGTCAATAAGCATGTGCTTTGGAATTGGTGAGTACCTTCCTGGAGAGATGGGTGGCAGGGAGGTTTTATATTCTAAAGTGCCATTGTTGCCAGAGAGTAGATGGTTTTCCATTGGTGGAGAATAAGCTAAGAGGAGGAGGAAAAAGAGAAAAGAAACCTGTTATGTGGACGATTCAATGTGTCATGCTATACTTCAGAAAATGAATTAAAAACAGAAAGGCTTTGCTGCATGCCAAGGATTTTCTTGTCCTTCAAGAGGAGGGGTTGCTGTTTGTTTGCATTTAATATATACAAGCACATGGTAATCTTTAGGATGGGAAAGTCTTAATAATCATTAAGTCTGCAATGCCAGTTAGTATAATTAGGTGAAGAGAAGAACTGGAAAAGAGATCCAGCATACATATTTTCAGAACAATGATTAAGTTTCTATTGAAATAAAATGTTAGCTTTCTAATTGCAGAGCTCACATTCTTTTCACATAATTAATATCCAATTATTCAGAGCAAAAGCCTCCTAAGCAGCAGGTTCTCTTATGAGACTTTCTCCCAAAATATACTCTATCCTCATCCCACAAAGGCCAAGAACTCTGGCCTTTCTTTTTCATTCCTGCTTCCTAAGGTATCTATCTCCCTTTTAGGTCTGAAGACCCTCCTAACTGGGTGTCTTACTCCTTTCTCTCTCCTCAAATCCATTTTATTTATTGAGATGAGGTAAAACCTCCTGAAATTCAGCATGATCACATTATTCTCTTACTTAAATGTTCTCCATTGTCATTATGTATTTAATACAGTATAAACTCTCCCCTTTGCCATTCTTGCCAAAAACAATCAATTTTAATATCCCTCCCAACACATATCCTATTGTCCTCAGTCTGTGCTTCCTGACATCTGTACCTTTGTTCCACTGTACCATCTACCTATAATTTGTGTCTCCTACCTGCCCCATCTCAGATATTGAAATCTTATTCTGAAGATGCAACTGAAATGCCCTCCTATGCATAAAGATTTTTCTGATGTTCCAAATACAGATAATATATCTCTTTTCTTTGAGTTCTCAAATGACATTTATTTTTACCTCTCCCATGGCATATACATACCTCTTATTATGCCAAATATTAATATTGCTTCTATTTATATCTCTGCATCAGCCTTCCTCCCAAGAAGGGTCTTTAAAGGCCTGTCTTCTCTGCATCCCACATATTACCTTACAATGTGTCTTGTGCATATTGAAATTACTCAATACATATTTCTTAGGTTGACTAGATAGTTTGGTTTTCCCCCTTTTCTCTCTTTGGCATTGACCTTATATGCCCTGCATGAAGTGGCTCACAGACTATCAAGGCTGATTTTGCTATATACTTCCGGTTTGAAAAATTCTGACACTTAAACTCTTTCATATTCTTAGGTAAAGCTGAAAGATAATATATCTCCATTTACTGCCAGCTTGAAAACATACATATTCTGGAGATAAGTTGTTTAGAATCATCATTAAGAAAAGTAATAGCTAATGCAATGGGCAGAAAACAAAATTATTCAGCACTTAACATTTCTCTCAAGAGAAACATGCAAATCTGAGAAGAGTTAAACAGTTTGTTTGAGACCATAGTACTAATTAATGGCTGGCCTTGCAGACGTTCCAAGTTCCCTGTCTCACAGACTCTCAACATTTCAGAATGAGCAACCTTACTACTGTTGACACAACTGTCCCTTACATTTACATAACAAAGTAAATTGCTTCTAAATCTAGTCTTTAAAGACAGAAACTTGGATAAGGTTTGTGTTGACCTATTAAGAAGAGGAGAACACATGAGACTTAAGCAACAGTGGACTTTTTGAAGACCCCAGCATAGTGTCTCATTAGTCATTAGTTGTTGCCCCAGAAGCCCCCACTTCCAGCTCACCTCTGTTGCCATAGTGACTGATAATTTCCTCCAGCTTTCTTGCCAATATAACAAATGCAACAAAAGTAAAAGGTGTGACAATGGCGATTGAGGGTCATGATTTCACGATTCAAGTGCAAGATTCCCCTTTTCAGGAAGAAGCACAGAGCTCCCTCTGGTCTATTTTGCCAGTCTCTCTTTTCTAATCTACTACTACAGAGATCTGAAGTAGGAAGAAAGAATATGATGGCATGAGAGTGATCATGCTTTAGGAGCTCGAGAAATAGCCTTTTAAAATGTGTCATGCATACACCACTGTAATCACACTATCCTCAATATTAAGCCTGTCCATAATGGTGGGCCTGCCAACTCATTAGGATATCCCACCTTCAAAACACTAGGTCAGGGCCTGCAAGGCAACATAGGAGTGGAGTTTAGGATACTCCCTCTGAAGTATTTTCAGAAGCTAACCAAGAGGGAAGGTACAAGGAGAACACTTTGTCAATAGTTTTATAGAATTCCAGTTCTGCAAGTCTGGCATGCTGTTTGAAGATGACACTGGTACTTACAGTGAGTAATATCAGGTGGACCATAAGGATCAGTCATATAAATGGTAGTGGGTTTGCCAACTTTTAAATAAACCACCTCTGATGTGTTCTTCAATATTGCTACTGCCTCTTCATGTGTTACCTCTTCTAAACTGTAGTTGTTTACCTGAAAAGAGGGGAAAAATCAATATTAGAGTTAAATTTATGCAGCTGAAGAAAAATATTTAAGCAAGAAGAATCCTGGAATTCTAAATTGTGATAATTACTGTCTAGTATCTATATCATACTTTGACAGAACAGATGAATTAATTGTATTAGTCAAAGCAGATAAGTACAATCATTGATGATATAAAACAAGGTTGCTTCTGCCTTTTTTAAAATAAGGAAGTGATAAACCATAATGGAATTCAGAATAGCATTTGTGGAAAGCAAAATAAGGAGTCAAATGCCTTTTTTGTTATGCTATAGCTTCTGTGATACAAAAGTAATACATATTCATGGAAGAAAACTTTAAAAAAGAAAATAAAAATCATTCCCCATCTCCCTACTTAGATATATTTCTTTAAACAATTTTGAGCTTATTATACACATTGTTTTGGAGCCTGCCTTTTAAACCTAGAGTGATTAGTTGTTTGTAGCAGCAGCAATGTGCTTTAACAACATGACTTTTGTTTTCTGCAGAGCCTTATGTTGCATGACTACAGAAAAATGATCGAACCAGTTTCTTACTAGTGCATGATTAGTTTGCCTCTAATTTTTCACAACTATAAATAATATTGCAATAAACCTTTTTCTATATTTGTGCACAACTCTGATAATTTCTAAAATATAGCTTTATCAATACTAGTGGAACTACTGGACCAAACTATATGAACATTATCAGGGCTTTTGATACCTAGTCTGAAAGTACCTCTCCCTCTGGAAAGACGAACTGGTTTACCTTCATACCAGCACTATGTGAGAGCCCGCATTTCCCTATTGCTTCACCAAACCTCGATTTTTTTCACTTTAAAATTGTTCTTATCAAAATGTCATTTAATATGAGTCCATTTGGAACACAGGTCTTTTCAGATGAGCAAGTTCAAGGGTGCTCTATGGTCATCGCTTTAACAGAAATGCCTCTTTCTTTATTACACTGAAAAGCCTGTGATGCAAATGCAATTCTGACTGCATGGCAGTGGCATTACTGTGCATCTCTGCAGCGCTTCTCTGAAATGATTTTAAGAAAATCTCTCTAAAAAGACGTTGACTTTGAGGAAATCAGAATAAACATCCATTCAGGAAGTGTTTCAAATACCTAGGTTATCCTTATCGGGCTACTATTTAAAAAAATAAATTTTATTGTGCATATTTCAGGTTCACAGCATGATGTTATGTCACACATACAGGTAGTAAAATGGTACTATAGTGAAGCAAATTAACATATCCATCATCACAGTTACTTTTTTGTGTGACAAGAACAGCTAAATCTACTTATTTAACAAAACTTCTAATATAAAACAATTTATTAACTATAGTCTTTATGTTGCACGTAAGACTTCTAGACTTGTCCATCCTACATATCTGCCACTTTTTATCCTTTCACCTGTATCTCCCCATTTCCCACCTCCCGCCATAACCACTGTTTCTTCCTCTATCTCTGTATATTTGATTTTTTTTTTAAAGGATTCCACATATAAGTGAGATCATGCGATATTGTTCCTTCTATTCTGGCTTACTTCATTTAGCATAATGTCCTCCAAGTCTATTCATGTGTTGTGATAAATGACAGAATCTATTTTCTAAGGCTGAATATCTCATTGTGTATATATAACACATTTTCTTTACCCTTTCATCCACTTACAGACACGTAGGTTGTTGCCTTCTCTTGGCTATTGTAAATAATGCTGCATTGAATATTGGAGTGCAGATATCTTTACAAGGTGGTGATTTCATCTTCTTTGGGTATATAACAAGATGAGAGATTGCCGAATCACATGGTAAATCTATTTCTAATTTATTTAGAAGCCTGCATACTGCTTTCCATAAGGGCGAAAGCAGTCTACATCCCAATCAATAGTGCACAAGTGCTCCCTTTTCTCCACATCCTCACCAACATCTGTTATCTCTCATCTGTTTGATCATAGCTATCCTAGCAGCTGTAAAGTGATATCTCATGGCAGTTTACATTTGCATTGCCTTGATGATTACTGATATTAAGCACCTTTTCGTATACCTGCTGGACATTTTTGCATCTTCTCTGGAGAAATATCTATTCATGTCCTTTGTCTATTTTTAAAATTCTGTTAACTATTTTTCTACTATTCAGTTGTTTCAGTTCTTTATAAATTTGGCTTATTATCTCATCATTAGATATATGGTTTGCAACTGTTTCCCAATTTGTTTCATTTGGTTAATTGTTTCTTCTGCTTTGCAGAAGATTTTGAGTTTAACGTAGTCCTATTTATGTTTGCTTTTGTAGCCTCAGCTTTTAATGTGATATCCAAAACAACATTGCCAATGCCAAAGTCAAGGAAACTTTCCTCCTACATTCTTTTCTAGGAATTTTATGGTAGGTTTTACATTTAGGTGTTTTAGCCAAATTGAGCTGATTTTTGTGCATAGCTAAATTAGAGTCCAATTTCATTCTTTTGCATGTGGTGATTCCATTTTCCCAATATCATTCATTGAAGAGATTAACCTTTCTTCATTATGCTCTCTTATTTTCTTTGTCAAAAATTAGTTCACCATATATGTCTGGATTGATTTGGCTACTATTTCTTTAATAACATAATTGTTTAATTGCTTTCTGCTGACGTGATGTAGAATTAAATGTGCCAAAAGTATTGGATTGTACCCCTATATTGCATATTATCTATACTATCTAATTAGCAGTTTAGCTCTACTATACTCTGCAGCACTACTATTCATCATCTTTATTATTTTGTTCTATGTTGCTGTATAAGTTCCAGGTGCTAGTTAATCCTTGGTGGTGTAGCCCAGGTTAGGGAACATGGAACTGGAGAGAACTGAACCTGACTGGCATGTCTGAATGCTGGCTGTAAGTTCTCCATTAAGCTGTAAGCTTCTCCAGCACCTCTCACATTTCTCTTCTAGATAAGAAACATTCTCTTCTTTTTTCATTTTCAGTGCCTGGCATTTGTTTATTCACTAATCAAATGTTTACAGCATACCTGTTATGTGTTGGACTCTGTGCCAGATATTAGACATATGATAAATAACAAAAACGATAATGTATAATTGTAGCAAACACTTATATAGCTCATGTTACATACCAGGCACTATTTTAAAGTATTTTATACATATTAAAACAATCGAACCTTCACAACAACTTATGAGGTAGGTATTAGAATTATTTTACAGATGAGAAAAGCATGTCTCCAAGAGGTTTAGAAACTTGCCCAAAGTCATTGATCTGGTAAGTGGCATAGGCAGAATTCAAAGCTAGACAACTTGGCTCCAGAAACCATACTGTTAACCGCTCAGCTATACTACTTCTTCCAGGTAGACAAGATCCCTACATTTATGAAACCCACATTATAATACACAATTGTTGGTGGAATGAATGTATAGAAGAATAGACTCATGCAGAGAGGGAGGATGTAGAGGAACTTCAGATATGAAGAATATAGTTGATAATGGCAGCCCTTAATAATAGAGAAATAACAAAATGATAATAATAAGAACCAACATTTATTTAACACTTGCATGTTACATATTTTAGGAGTACTATGTCATATATTTTGACATGAATCATACAACTTATTATCAGAATAGCTCCAGGAGGTAGATACTAATAATAAGACAAATTTTACAGATGAGAAAAACTGACGTTTAAAGAGGTTAACTTGCAACAAAGAGGTCACACTGCCTCCAACTGTCAAAGCCATCCGTTGGATCACAAGCCTCTTTAAGGGATGAAAATACGATTATATTTGCATGTTGATTTATTAAAAGCTATGGCTTATATCACCTGTTCTTTCTCCCTTTAGAACATGATATCCTTCCAAGTTTACACATAAAAGCAGAATAAATTACAAGTATTATAAAAGTTTGAAGAATCATTACATTTCCTGCTTAGTCCAGTGGTAACAGTATACTGCATCATCCTAATACACTGACCAGTCAAAAAATAAATAAGTAAAATGGAAAGCTGCTTAATATAACTAACTGTCTCTTCAAAACCTTCTTATACATTTGATTAATCACTTATTTTAGGGCAGTTACAACTTCTTGTGACTAGATAATGAATTTCTGTTTTCTTTTCTTTCTTTCTTTCTTTTTTTTTGAGACAGAGTTTTGCTCTTGTTGCCCAGGCTGGAGTGCAGTGGCGCTATCTTTGCTTACTGCCACCTCCACCGCCCGGGTTCAAGAATTTTCCTGACTCAGCCTCCTGACTAGCTAGGATTATAGGTGTGTACCATCATGCCCAGCTAATTTTGTATTTTTAATAGAGACAGGGTTTCACCATATTGGCCAGACTAGTTTAGAGGTCTTGACCTCAGGTGATGCTCCCGCCTCAGCCTCCCAAAGTGCTGGGATTACAGGCATGAGCCACTGCAACACGCTGATAATGAATATTTACATGTGATGCTCTGAGGTTTAAAATGTATATGAAAGTGGGTTTTTTCTCTAAAAAGAAAAAAAAAGATTGCCTAAGGTAGCTTTGAATTCTGTGACTAGGGCCTGAAGAAACATCTATATTGAAAAAACAGAAGAAAAACAGCATCTGGTGGCATAACACAGGGAGAATGACAAGCCAATAATAATTAAAAATAAAAACCAAAGGCTAGAAACTAAATGGATTAGATTATAAGTGACACCAAGGCTCTGTTTCTGTCAAGGGCTCATTGTTTCTTTCCCCAGAGTACAGAAAGTACACAGCTCATTACATTATCAGAGAAAGAGAAATGTGGTCAGTGCTTATTAAATTGCACCTTTTGCCATTTTTAAGGTGGGCAGTGAAATGATCCAGAAAATATCACCTTCAACATCAATTTCATAGACTGACTTAGCCAACAGAGTCTTCAGATCACTAGGAAAATTTTTAGACCAGAAACAGAAGTCAACGGAAAGGTGTGGGTGAGAAATGGGTAAATAAGGTATCGGGGAGAGTAATAATAGTACTTTAAAATAGTGGTAGTTCACTCAGTTTCCATTTGCTGA